TTCAGGGGCTACCTGCAGATGCCCTATGGTCTCCTTCGTTCTTCCAGGAGAAACTACTTTGTATTGGATTGAGAACTCTGGTAGAACTGGGCCTCCCCTGTTTACTTATGAGCATGTTTGAACACACACACACACACACACACACACACAAACACACACACACACACACAGAGAGCAACATGACATGTTTGGAAGATCACTAATAATCCAATATGATTAATTTTGCAACTGAGTAGCCATATGTGAGCCTTAGTGTTCATCTCTAAAACAAGAAACATTTCATCTCCCTTATAAGAATCAGAGGTCACATAAATAAAGTATCCAGACTCTTGTGGACAGCAGTTACCAGGTAGATGCTAGCTAAGCGTCACTGTCTTCAGCTTTATCTCCCTTTAATAGTGCAACAAAACCCAATATTTAACCCAAACAAAGCAGTGCTTTAAAGGGTACTTCTCTTTCTTCTCTCTCATGGATACTGTCTTGATCTCCTTGCCATTTCGGGTGTGAGCTTCACTACATACTCAGTTGGTACAGAGGATAACAGCCCTGTCTTCTAATCCATAGATAAAATATAGTCTACCACTAGACCACATGTCCACTGGAGAAGCCTTTGATTATTTATTTGTTTATTTATATCATATTGGTCTCTTATACTACTGGCATGACAGCTGTCACTAAAACCCTGCTTGGCCCCACACATCCCAGCCAGTTGCAGTGAAAGATCCTGCCAAATTTAAGGCCACAACCTCTGTGCATAACACCCTACGGCAAAGGGCAGGCTCCACACTCCTGAACACCAACAGCAAATCTGGAAATGGGTAGATAATACAGCAGCAAATTGCAGACAAAGGCCAAAGTCAAGGTTTTTTGGCACCACCTTCTGCAAGACTGCCAAAGAATGAGCACAGCATTTATGTAAGTATGATGTTGAAAAGGTTCTAGTTCCTATGGTACCAATTCCATAATTTGAATCAGAGTTCACTTTAAAGGTTTGTCCCAATTTTGCAGTTATGTGCATTAATTTTATCAATTCCAGTGGGATTATGCACATTCAACAAGTTATAATTACTTTAATGAGGAAATGTACAGTTTTCAGAATTTAGTTATCAAACGGTTATATGCCATTCATGATTTGGAGGACTGTTGTGGTCAGTGAGTGTGTCTCCCTATAGCATGGGGCTAATGACAATAAATAGCTGAGTTTTCTCTCATTCTTAGAAACAATGTATTGACTATTTTTTTAGTTGTTTGGAATTCTGTTGTTGAATATGCCACTCTTCAATTCTCCTACCTTCTTATCACAAACTCCTAGCCCTGGAAGAAAGTAGTATCTGTTAGATGCTTTTGTCATTGTGATTCTATTTGACATCTTAAGCTGGCTGTTTTTACTGCGCAATAACATAATTTATGCACATAATTTTCCATGTGGTGGATCTTCTTTCCTTCACTATTAATTTTGCTCTTTCTTGATTGTGCCCTTTAACTGTCACTTTCAATAACCCCAAGGGGTTTCCTAATAACCACAAATTGCTTGTAACACCCTAAGTTGAATATTGCCAGAAAAGTAGAGAGATATGGCTCTGGAAGTATGTCAGTATTTCAAGTGCCCAGTTTGTTACACAGAGAGAGGACATTTTTGAAGGTATTTAGGGTGGTATGTTAATACAGGCTAGAAAAATAAATTCCTAGTTATGGACATCAATTATCTGATTATATTTTTCCATGAGTATCATGCCTATTCAATCCTGCCTCTGGTGTGAATCTTTAGGTTGCAAATAAGAAACTGGGGTTCAGACACCCAGTGATATTTTCAGGGGTCATTAGCAGTGTGTAATGTTCTCAGACCTTATTTGACAAATTTGCTGCAATATTCTGTCCTTGCATTAAGCATCCCCATTGGTGACAGTTCCATGTTCTAGAAGACTCCTTCTGGGCATCAGTCTGAGTGTGTGAAGATATGTATTGTATAAATAATTTGTGACTAATTATAGATTTGTGAGCAAAGACAAATGTTCTTTCCAGCATCTTTTTAATCTTTCTATTAAGTTCTGCTCTTGAGATATGGTAGGAAATACTTATAACCTGATAGGTGCTGGATGTCCTTCTCTAGGGACATGCCCTTCAGGAAAGAGCATCTGCCTTGGCATGCCACACTTCCTTCCCCTGCCTAAATATCATTCCTATGCTTCTTTAATGATTTTATCTGGATAGCTTTTGTTTAGAAGTTTCAGCTAACTTCTTTTCCCAGACCAGTTTCAGAAAATAAATAAGCAAATAACTAAACAAGATAGATAGTAACCAGTAAGAAACAATACCTTAGATTGTCTTCTGACCTCCTCATACATACAAACACATGTACACATGTACTTTCCCACATGCCTGCACCCAAATACACGTGAACATGCTCACTCACTTAAAATATTTTAAATATTTTTTAAATAAACAATAAGTATACAGGCAAGTTAGAATAGAACATGTGAGATATGAAACACACACACCAGAAAACCCACCAAGTATTGTTTATTATCATATGGATAGAGATTAAAAAATGTGAGAGTATACAAAGACATAAAACAACAACCTCAGGAGATTGATTGTGTCTGAAGAAGGGAGCAGGTACAAGGACATGATGGATCTTTTGGTTCATCAATCATGTTTTATTTTTGGCATTTATGGTGCCTGGGTATGGGGTAGTCCTTACATTAATTTCCACAGTTGCTGTTGACTTGAAATATAATCATTATAGAATTAAGTTACATCTCATAACAGTCTGTGAAACTGGGAGAGAAGTCTTGAATTTCTACAGTTGGTTCTCAATTCTAGACTTCACCTCCTCTCCAAAGAGCCTAACTGTTGGTGCTGAACCAAGTATGTCACCCTATCCACCAAGACATAGTACCATTTAAAAGTGCTGATGCTAAGCTCAGACTCCATAGTTTATAGATTCACATAGACCTCGACTTTTAAGAATGTTCCTTAAAATTTTTCATCACTACCTACAGCTTGCCCAGCCTCTCTTTATATATTAAAGCATTGACTTCTTCCAATTTAAATTAGCTTTTTCAATAAGAGTTGATGAAGTCTCTCACACACTTTAGACTGGGTTCTGCTTTTGTCTTCCCTGTCTTATATCACTATATTTTCCTATTTTGTATCTCCCCCAAATTTACTTTATTGTCCTCCCCAAATAAATAAGACTCTTTTACTAAGTAGTTTTAGCATGAAAGTAAGGGATTTTGTTGTGGCATTTTCATACATCTGAGTATATACATTCATTTAGAGTAAGGCACACCCATATTGGTCTGCCTGTTTTTCAACTCTAAATTAGACATGTGCCTAAGTTAGACTCTCAGTTTCCCCTCCAACAAAATAAGGATTACAGTTGTTTTCAAAGGATCTTGGAACATTGAAGAAAATGGTATTCAAGAAAAGCCAATATGCATGAAGGAGATAGGCAATCACTGTACTGCACCTTGTGACTCATAAATACACATCTCTGTATTACTCTACTCTTCCAAATTTGTCAAACTTTCTCTGCCTAAAACCTTCTGTAAATGATGAATATACTTTTCCTACAAACGTGTACCACTAGAATAAGTAAAAAGTGTTAGAGTCAATATGTGTGTCTGACTAGAAGGAGGAAGTCAGTTATATCTAGGTGTCAACTGTCTTTTTACGTACCTAGACAGTGGCCCATCTGCTCAATTGATCATGATGAATTGGATTCCTTTGAGGACCCAAATATGTAGCAAGTCCCTTCACTACTTTGGCCATGTGACCTCTTCTAATTATGGCTTTTTCTGCCCACGTGGACTGAGTTGTTAGTAGGTAACTGCCTCCAATTCACTCAACTAAGCCAAGTTCCATGTTCCTTGTTAGAATTATTTGAATTTTTTGACCTTAATACTACATTTAATTGTTTCCCCTTTTTCCAAACGCAAGAATGGATTCAATGGAAAACTACTCAACACCCTGCCCCACTTGCTCACATTCATCCCTATATAAATACACCATGAAAAAAAGATGAGAAGGAAGTAATGGGCTCTTGTTAATAGTTTCTTATGAACACAAAGCTTCGACATTTGAATTAAAAACCCAACATGAGCACTGCCTTTCCAATAATTGACATGCATATTAATTATCATTGTCAAGGAAAGCAGTTCTCAAGTCAGGAACACTAAGTCAAGGAGGTGTGACTGCTCAGTACTGCCAAATAATGTACTTAGAAGGGGTTAAAATGACGGCTTATAGGTTAATAGCTCTTGCTCTTGACCATAACTTGAGTTCTATTCCCAGCACCCACACAGCATCTCACAGCCTCCTGTAATTCAAATTTCAGAGAATCAGGCACCCTCTTCTGGTCTCTGTGGATACCAAATGCACTTGTCCGTACATGAAGACAAACTCTCAAACAAAAAGAAATTTTTAGTAACTGAAACAAAAGCATGTCATTGGAGTAAAGTAAAGTTGTAGAAAAGTTGTTGTGTTTTTCCTGAAAAAAGCAAATGGTGTGTGTTGTGCAAGTGCCACTTATCAGCCATACTAAGGGTGCCTTGTCTCCGGGAAAAACATTGAAAAGAAGCTACTATTTGTGAGAAATGTAATGCACATCAAGTTGAGAGCAGGATCTCTTGTTATTATTACTATGATATAGTTTGTAAATAGTATATAAGTAGTAGAAACTTATTATTTTAATTCAATAGTGCAACTATCATCACAAAATATCTCCAGAAAGTACTAAGCATTACTCATTTACCTATATAGTAGGGATGTTTCAGAGATATGATTTTGTTTTACACTTGATCAGTATCTGGCAGAGCCTGGTGCTGAGGCCAAGACTCTTCATCTTCAAGCCATGCACCCTGTATGGTGAAGGCTCACTGCTTGAGATTTGGGAGGAAAAGCTCGTCCTTTTAGGTGATTGGCTGTCCTAGAGCAGCTAGTATCTCTAGTTCCATCTCACTGCTGCTCTTGTTCTTTTATCCTGTTCTGTTGCCCAGGAGTCATACTATTGCTTCTGGATAAGCTGCGCAAGATGAAATGGGAACAGATGTGGAGACTGACAGCAGAGAGGGAACTCATGGGCATGCTGTCTACCTCTTTGGCTGACCAGGTGAGTGGCCAATGACAGGAATCCTTACACCTGAGTACCCTCCTCTTAGTGCTTGTTGTCTTGTTACTACAGTAAACACCGAGAAAGGGTTTTTTGTTACGATATTATTTAGTTCATTGTTTTCTTTCTCAAACAGATTCCCAGGGTATACTCCATGCTGCTTTGAACTAGCAATTCTCCTGCCTCTGTCTCCCAAGCTCTGGGATGGGCGTGTATATGCCACTATGCCTAAATTATGAGGTTCATTTTGGATCACAGTTTAGTAGGTTTAACCCATAGTTGGTTGACCATATTGCTCTTGGTCTAAAACCATAACACTGGTGAGCACATGGAGGATCAAATCATCTTACAATAAGGATATCAAAGAAGACACCGAGGTCCCACAGTCCCCCTCACATATATTTTCCCAGTGACCTTAAAACTTTCCACTATATCCCACCTATAAAAGGTTTAATCACCTCCAGTGGTAATTCTGCGCTTAGGACTAGTAGTTTAGCACATGGATCTTTGGTACAATATTCCAGATGCCAAAGCACAGTAGAACTGGTCTGTTTCTCAAAAACTTCTGTTAATAATTGAATGGTCTCAATTCATTGTTTCTTTCATACACTCAGTCAAAAGACATTCAATGAACATTGTATACTAAGGCATGTAGGAAGATAACAGTAGAGGACTTAATATTTTTTCTTTATTTATTTTATGTGTAAACTTATTTTGCCTGCATGTATGTCTCCGAACTTCATGTGTACCTGGTGCCCATGGAGGCCAGAAGAGGTTGTCAGATCCTCTACAACTAAAGTTTACATATGCCTGTAAACCTCCATGTGGGTGCTGGGAATCAAACCTGGCTCTTCTGGAAGAGCAGCCAGTGCTTTAAACCACTAAACCGTGACCAGACTCTTTACCTCAGAAATTTCATTGCTTATGGAATCAGAGTCACAAGTGTATGATAGTGTACTATGTGAAAAGGCATCACTACCATCTTTACCAATACCATCTTTCTTTACCAATACCAGTGTGGAATGTACATGCTCCCTATGACCAGAAAATGCCATTGTGTATTTCCCAGATATTTCACATGTATCTGAAAAGCAGCATGTAATGTGTAGGATAAAACTATTATTGTGATCCTAATCCTGGTAGCCGTAAACTCAAGGGAATTTCATTTAAGCAGGGAAAAAAGAGACATTAAGCAGACAGTCTGAGAACGTCCTTCAACTACAACAAATGATTAACTAATTTTATGAAAACACATGTCTCATTTTGATTGGGAAAGGCATTAACCTGTTTGACCTCAGAACTCAAGACCTCTCACGTAGATTTTACTTCTTGTGATGTTGCTGGTCATCTTTGGATGTGAAGATGCTGTCTCTGGGTTTTCATTTCTTCCTTTCCGAAATTAGTTCATGCCTCATGACTCCTTTGTCAGAGTCCCACAAAGTTTTCAAATACAGAGAGGAAACAAGAAAATCTGCAAGGTTATATAACTTTTTTTTAAAGCATTATTATTCAGTATTTCCCTCGGAGACAAAAACTGACCTCCTTTTCCAAGGAATGAGATACAGCATGAGTGAGTGAAAAACTAAAATAAAATAACTCAGATGCCATCTAGGAACTGAGGGGAAAGTTGTCCGCTGTCCTTATATTTCAAATTAGGTAGCAGTGACCTAAGTGTGTGCCCCCAAAGTTAGCAATTGTGTGTGTGTGTGTTTGTGTGTGTAAAATATGTCCAGTGAGGATAGTTTGTTTAGCCATCTTGTGCCATGAAGGCCTATAATTCACCTCCCAGAACCACCTGTCAAGTAGCTGGTTAATAAGTGGGGTTACATATTAGGCTTGGAGGGAGCACAAAAAAGATTTTGAACATTCCTTTCTACACAAGTTGGAACAGGAGTTTGAAATAGGGAGTTGCATTCTAGGTACCGTGGCCTTCAGAAATTCAATAGCATCCATCACTGGACCAACCAAAATCCTGAGAAAGAGGTACTTAAAATAAGGATCTATCATTTGTCTCAACCCTCGGGATGAGTTGAGCCACTTGGCATCACAGTTTCCTCTCATGAAGGCTCAGGATATGACAGGGCTCCTACCTAGGGTAGGATAAGGGGAAGATAAGAGACTTGATTTATTTCATGATATTCAAATGGGAAAGTCATTACCTATCTGCCCAGTGTGACCTCACTGGATTATGACCAGCTGGACCCCCCAAGCATCAAGTCAGCTTGTTTGGCCTATGACATTCCTCTGTGCCTACCCAGATGTTACCCATTGGTTCCTGAAGAAAGCAGTAGGGAAAACTGTTCACAATGGGAACAATCCTATTCCCAGAGCATGGTGTTTGAGAGATGTCCTTCTGTAAGCTAAACCTACCCACTCACTTGACTGTGTCCGTGGCTTTTATTCCACAGGATATTTTCAATGCTGTCATCAAACAAAACCCCTTCCTGGTGTATCAGCTCCCCTGCTTCTGGAATGTACAGCTGTCAGACCACACTCGCTCCGAGCAGTGCTACAGAGATGTGTCTGATTTAAAGGTGGGTCAAGAAGTGTCATGGTGGGACGTGGTTCATATCTTCAGTTTACTCCTGTAGTGATATTTCATTTGTATTTCAATAAATGAAGCTTACCTGCAGATCAGAGACTAAAACAACCCCACTGGTCAGCCTTACAGATCAGGCAGTAATAACACACACCTTTAAACACAGTAACCACAATAGTTTGCCATAGTAACTGGACAGTAGTGGTTCATGCCTTTGATCCCAGCCCTGGAGAGAAATGTAAAATGAGAAGAGACAGCTTTCAGTCTCATTCTGAGATTCCTGGAGGTAGAATCACCATTTCAGACTGAGGTAGAGGTAAGAGTCAGTGACTACCTGTTTTGCTTTTCAGACCTTCAGACTAAACCCCAATATCTGTCTCTGGGTTTTTATTAATTGTGCTACATACTCCTGTGTTGAGCATAGAGAAGCTGGGTACGGGGACTGGCAGGGAACAGTTTTCTGTAAGCCTATGGGCATGTGGTGGAAGATGTATGGTCCCGGGAGAACAGAAAGAACATGATTTTCCTCTCTTCTGGTTCTTTTCTTTCACACTCTTATTTGGGATTCCTGGACAGTATAAAACCCCTGGAATAAAGAACCAGCTTGTGTGGACTTCTCTTCTTCCCATATTGCTGCCACTTCTGGTTCATTCCAGATCCCAAAATCCATTGATTTAACTCAAGCAAAAACCATTGTGGAGAGGTCCACTATATTCCAAGTGCTATATGGGTGATGTTAATTACTTCCTGCTTCCAAGTAACATTTTTAGAAGGGCAGAGAACTGTGGAAGGAAATGAATAATGCAGGAGCTGTGACAGATTTAGAAGGGTCAGGGTGAAGAAAGCAAGCACAAATGTCTCATTCTCCTGGAGGAGATGGGACTGGGCAGAAAAGTCCAGTACCAACTACTAAAGAAGGCCTGACTTTAAGATGACAGCACAACAGGGCATATTGGCTAGTGCTGTATATAATGTCACAAAACAAAATATTCTAATTGTGGCTATACTCAGCACCTATGTATTTAGCCTATGAGTTTTTAACATTGGATGGAGGTTCACTCATTTTGCCTGACTTAACTAAGTAATGTGATTGCCTTCAGTTCAGAAAGTGATGCCTAGGATACCTCAGTTGTCCTCATGTTGTAACATGAGGGGGCCGGCTTATTGGGGTTTCTGTCCCTCCCAGTACCCCAACAGCCGGCAAGCAACAAAGAAAATCACACACAGGACTCCATAAGGTTATAAACTGATTGGCTCATTAGGTCAGGCTTCTTGTTAACTCTTATAACTTATATTAACCCATTATTCTCATCTATGTTAGCCATAATGGCTCCGTACCTTTCTCTGCTGGGCAAGTTACATGCTGCCTCTTTGGTGGTCTGTACAGGAAAGGCAAGGGAGGTTCTGCTTCCAGAATACTCCCAGTCTCTTTGCTCCACCCCTACTTCCTGTCTGGCTTTCCTGCCTATACTGCCTGCCTGGCCAATCAGCGTTTTATTAAAATATGATTGACAGAATACAGATAATTCTCCCACACCATTTCCCTCTTTTTTTTTAAGATTATAAACTGATTGGCCCACTAGGTCAGGCTACTCATTAGTTCTTACAACTTTTGTTACCCCGTTATCCTTATCTACGTTAGCCCATGGCTCCGTACCTTTCTCAGCTGGGCAAGTTACATGCTGTCTCTTAGGTGGTCTGCACAGGAGTGGCTGAGGAACCTCCCTGATTCCCAGAATTCTCCTGTTCTCATTGCATCACCTCTACTTCCTGTCTGGTTTTCCCGCCTATACTGCCTGCCTGGCCAATCAGCGTTTTATTAAAATATGATTGACAGAATACAAACAATTCTCCCGCATCATAATATCATCAAGTCAAACTGATGTTTTCAGAGCAAGGTGGAGGTAGAAGGAGAAGCCTTAGTGTACAGATGGAAACCCTGACTTTTTCCTAATGACTCACTGCCCCACATGGCCAAAAGAAAAAGAATCTTAAACCTTGCTTTCCTTTATCATTTTCTACCTTTGTTGTTGAGGCAGGGCACAGGCTGAACCTGTTACTCACTAATTGCCAGGATGACTGACCAGTGGGTTCCCAGGAATCTTTTTGACCTCCCAGTACTGGAATTATAGGCACATATCACCATGCCTATGTTTTTTTCATAAATACATGTACACACATACAAATAACCAAGTAATTTGAATTCTTTAAGGATAAGGCAGGCTCAATAATATCTATTTGCCTATATTATTAAATTATTATGTTCTGACCCCTTTTAGATCAACCAATGCCATCATTATTTCAATTTTTAAAAAAATCTTTAAATTTCATACTAAGTATCAGAATGCATTATGATATTTTCAAACTTACGTTTTATTGGCTTCCCTTCCCCCCAACAGTACCCACCCTCTGCTACCTTCAATTCCTTCTTCCCTTTTGTTAGCTCCTTCCACGGTCTGTTTTTCTTTTTTATACCCATTTGTCTATTTGCCTACCCCATTACTTATTTTGCCCTTTCTTTGTCTCCGTTCTACTTATAAGGTTTTACCCATGATTACACACAGACACACATACATGTATGCCATGCATACGTTCATATGTATCAACTGAAAGCTAGGAAGTTTGTATGAAAGAGAATGTGCAGTCTATGCCTTCCTAAGTTTGAGCCACTTAACTTAGTATGCTTTCCAAATCCACCCGTTAGAACTTCTTTTGAGATACTGTCTCGCCCAATCAGAGCAGTATCATCAAGAAATGTCATAACAGATGCTGCTGAGGACCAGGGGAGGAGAAGCCCTAATTCAGTACTGAAATTGCAGGAAAATGGATGAACTTGCAAAGGATAATATCAAACAGAATATTTTCTTTTGTGCTCTTTTTTGCCAAGACAGGAAAATCGAATGTTTTCCTTGCTGAATTTCATCATCATTCATTTTGGTAAAGGTATCTTCAAAGAGACTTCTAAGATCTTTCCATGGAGTTCAGAGAAACTTTATCAAGCCCTGCTATCACAAGGGTTTGAACAACAACAATAAAAGTAAATACCCCATTTTGGGCACTGTATCCATGTCTCAAGTGATCTGTTTTGAAATGACTTGGCAATTCCTAGTGCCTAACATTTAGTACTACTCAAAGCATAAAGCCTGGGCAGTATGAACTTCTTCCTTATCTGCACTGGTAGTTAATTCATTTTTAAACATAACAAGAATTCATTTTTTTGTGAATGCTCAGTTATAGTTGATGTGGGAGAATTGTCTGTATTCTGTCAATCATATTTTAATAAAACACTGATTGGCCAGGCAGGCAGTATAGGCGGGAAAGCCAGACAGGAAGTAGAGGTGGAGCAAAGAGACTGGGAGTATTCTGGGAAGCAGGAAGCTCCCTCCGCAGTTCTGCCCAGACCACCGGAGAGGAAAGATGTAAGCTGCCCCGCTGGAAAAGGTACTGAGCCATGTGCTAACGTAGATAAGGATAATGGGGTAACATAAGTTATAAGAGCTAATAAGTAGCCTGGCCTAATGGGTCAATCAGTTTATAATCTTATGGAGTCTGTCTATCATTTTCTTTGGTCTTTGCTGGCTTTGGGGTACCGGGCGGGAACAGATACCCCAACAAGCCGGCCTTCATGTTCCATATAGTAAACCACCTATTTCCAGATTTTCTTATGGAGTAGAAGATGATCTTACATTGGGAGCAGAAATGTAGCTCAGCTGTGTTGCTGTCCATTTGAGCTTGTCTTCATAGATGTCCTCAGCTATTTTTCTTTTTAGATTTTTTTAAATATAAACTTTTCTCTGAAAGAATCTAAGACTATAGAAGTAGTGCGGAGCCCCACTGTCTCCCGTCTGGTTCCATTCTGCCTCTTATGACAACGTTCCTCCAGTGGCACATTGGTCAAAACTAGCCAACCAGTCTTCATACACTTCTGGTAACTTAACTATTCCTTGGGCTAGAAAGAGCCTGGGATTTGTGCAGTTGCCTAATGTCTATATATATATTCCATCCATTTTGCCCTAGGCACCTTTTCTCTTTGGTCTCATCAGCCCTCAGTGGCCCAGTCTTTTCTGGTTTCTTGTTACTCACCAAGTGGTTTTGTGAAGTGCTGCTTAAGGCTTTACTGTCTCAGGAGGAGAAGTAAAGTTCCCTCCTCAGCTCATGCCATCAGAAGGAACTTGACTTCCATTGAGGACGTGGCTAGGGACACTAACTATTCTTACACAGTGAAGGCCAGTACTATGAAACTGCTGTTTCCCTCTTCCATACTTTATTATAACTGAGTGACTACATCCACACTGCATCAGAATTGGGGGATGAAAAAGAAAGGGTATTGTCTATTTATATTAATTAAGATTGCTTTACAAAAAAGATTCATCAGTAATTTATTTGCATTCACATGGACTAGGACATATTCATTTTATACTTTGGATTGTAATACAAAAACCTTTTAAGGTATGCACTTTTGAGAATTATCTTAATTTGGTCTTATCAAATAATATAATTTGATAGACTAAAATATATATCTAGCTGTAACATGATGGCTGGCTTGTTGGGGTTTCTGTCCAGCCCGGTATCCCACAGCCAGCATACACCAAAGAAAAATCACAGAGTCCACATTAGG